GAGTAATTATATTCCCACCAACTAAACGCCAATATAACAGTTACTTGAAGGGGTTAACCTCCACCTATATAGTAACAATGAGAGAAAGACCTCTAATCCCAAGAAGATGCAGACAAGGGAAGATCCTCCTCATGAGCGGATCCTGAGCCCAATCAATGACACCATCTTCTACAACCAGAACAGGAAAATGAATGTGGCTAAAGACGGAAAAAAGGAGGTCGTGAAGAAAGGAGACCGTGGTGGTGAGGCTGTTTCTTCCGCCTTCCAGCTCTGCGCCCCTGGAGGAGCTCCCAGCGGCGCCATGTTGGGACAGAGTGTGCGGAGGTTCACCGCCTCCGTGGTCTGTCGCAGCCACTATGAGGAGGGCCGGGGGAAGAATCTGCCATTTTTGGTGTAAAACAAATGGCTTTGGATCTGGATTTGCTGCTCCTTTCTTTATAGGAAGGCACCAGCTACTTAAAAATTGAGGGTATTTAATTCATCCCTTTAACAGAATGAAGATTGTTTAAGAGATGTGATTTGAAAATTGGATTTTCTTAAACTCTTATTGCTAAATAAAATTGTAAATAAACTAGTGATATAAAAAAAAAAAAGACAGAAAAAGGATGACTTCTCCATGAAGATAATATTTCCCTAGGTTCACTTGCAGATGCCTTATATAGTTAAAGCACAGAAGAAATACAGTACGAAAGGCACAGAACTGGTAGAGAGACCTGGTGTGTCATAAAATACATGTTTCCCTAAATAAAAGCAGCAGAAACAATCTGTGTGAGCCTGCAGAAGATAAGTAGTTACCACCCCTCCCTAGCCAATCTGTGCCTCGCAGGTCCTCCAAATGTATTATTATCGGGACAAATAATTCAGAGGCATGTCAAAAATCACACCGCCCGGGGGGCCCCCCCGGCCTGCCTGTGACCCTTTGCCTAAGCTGGACGGCTCTGCACCGACTTGTGCTTCTGTTGGCTCCAGTACAGAGACAGGATGCTCTGCAGCCGAAAGGTTGCACCAGCCAAGTACACCAGGACTCAGTGCATTTCGTCACCCTCTACTGTCTGTCTAGGATTGTGACACCATTTCCCTAATGACCCCAAACACTGGATGGATCAACAGGGCACACACCCCGTAAGTCCAGGCTTCCTAAACATAGAGTCAGAAGTGGGGCAGAGGTGCACAGCGTGCCATTGCGATTAACATGGATTAATGCAGACACAAATGAGCATGGAACGCAGAACTCCTCTTACACTGTCTTTTGCTTGTTCACCTATTTGAGCACCTGTCACAGGAGCCTACCGGGTGACTATCTCCCAACAGACACGCATTTTAATGAACTTAGGATCCCACACAGGTCAAGTTTAAATGTCATAGATGCTCCATAACTTAGAGAGTTTATTCCGATTTCACAGGCTAAAGGACAGCCACTCTGGATTAAATTTCATAGGTGCTAGCCTTACTCCAAATTAGGACATATTTTCTCCACCTCTTTCTTTCGAGGGTCTTGTGTAGCCCAAGCTGGCTTCAAACTCTAGTCAAAGACATCTTGTCCATCTCTTCTTTCTGCCTCTATCATCCTGAGTGCTTGGGATTGCAAGTGTATTGCCACTTCCCTTATGTATGGTGTATGGTGCCAGGGATCAAAGCCTGGGCTTCATGTATGCCAGGCAAGCAATCTACCAACTAATTTCCACAGCTCCCAACAGCATACAGTTTCTACAGCTCCTCACGTGCAACCCTTCAGATGATAAATTTCTTACAAAGTACCTGACCACTTGACCATTTTCCATACTAAGTAAGAGGGGCAAGATTTTCCTACTTTTTTTTTATATTTAGGAAAACAAAAAACAAAAACCTGCAACTGGAAATAAAGGCAAATTATTCAAAATGAGTGAGCATTTAAACTCCTGTAAAAACTTGGTGGCAGCATCTGGAACCACTGCCCAGGTCAATTCTAAGCCATCGATGATGCTGGAATGTGGGGGGCACAGTTGTACCCATCAAGGCAAAAGACCCCAGAGACCCTCCATAGCACTTGCTACTGTCTCCTGTGTGTGCAGAACTGGCCCAGCAGCCCTCTGAGGCCCAAACCAGGAGCTGTACATGGACGGTAAACACCTCCAACAGCTAGGGGAAAGACAGGAAGGGAGGATATACTCCCACTGTGTTCTGAGAGGTTCACTGAACGCAGTGGGAGAGGGTGTGTGCTATGCATGACGGGATACCCCCTCAACTTCTTGTGGGCCTTGTTAACTAACCTTGGTGGTGAGGTTAAAAAAAAAAAAAAAAATCCCAGTGAGGGGAGACAAAGCTTTGCTCCTTAGTTAGAGACAGCCATCTCAGCCCTCAGGAATTCCCCCCAAGCAAGGCTAGACCAAAGACTCCATCAGAGAGGCTACAGGGCAGGTGAAGGACCACTCCGGGCCTTTTTGAAAACACTTTTGATCCATCTAATGATTTAATTCTTCCTTATTGTTTAGTCACTATTCCTATAAAATTTGACTTCCTAGGAACCTAGTGCCTGAAATGATTGTCAGGATTCTTACTCCCACAGAAACTGTTTCTTTAGGCACATAAATAAACAAGGACTGGTTTTAACTTGTTTCTACCAGAAGCTAACAGGGGTCATAGATTGCATGGGAGAAAGAAGATTGCAGTCAAGCAGCCCTGGGAAAGCTTAATTTAATAAAAAAAAAATCTCTCTCTCTCTCTCTCTCTCTCTCTCTCTCTCTCTCTCTCTCTCTCTCTCTCATGTGCACTCTTGTTTTTCCAATTTTTTTAAACAAGGTCTTAGTAACATAGTTCAAGCTGACCTAGGATCAGCTACATAGCCCAGGCCACCACCACACATGTAACCGCCTACCTCAGCCTTCAGAATTCTGGGATTACAAACACACACCACCATGCCCAGCTAATGTAGTCTTTACTACAGGACTTTTCTAGACCTTTGTCACCACACAACAGTACTCTTCCAGAGGAAGGGACAGTATGGAGTGCCTCCAAACATCCCCGCTAGAGTCTGACTGTGTTATTACTGGTTTTTGGGGGTACTGCAGACTGAACTAAGAGCTTCACATACATGAAGTATATATATGCTCTCCCATCGAGATACAATCCCAGACAAGAGCTGTGGTGGGTTTTTTGTAAACTTCATTATTTATCTGAATGATTTTTTCATTCTGTGTCTGTGTGTGGTGTGTGCACATGAGTCCAGATGCCTGTGGCAACTAGAGGGAACTCCATATCTAGAACTGGAGTTAGGGGTGGTTGTGAACCGCCCAGTGTTTGTGCCGGGAACGACGTTTGGGTCATCCGCTTGCTCTTAACCACTGAGCCATCCCTCCAGCCTGCAGTTTTACTTCTTGTTCAGTGTTCTCAGTTAGCCTTCAGCAGGGAAATGTATCCCAAGGAGCGCGCTTTGAGAACATCCGACTAGAAGTTAGAATGAAACCCTGATAAAATCTCAACTTCTAAATTCTAACCCCCAGGCAGTCCGATTGGTCTCTGCGATGGTTGGGATTAGTCTCGGTCTCTGCTGCGGTTTAAGGGTAACCTCAAAGGTTCCTGTGTTAGGGGACTGGTCCTCAGCGTGGTGGCACTGAGCTCTGTGGACTTCTATGAGGTGGGGCCTCAAATGAGTCCCTGGGTCATCAGGGTGTGCTGCTGCCCTGGGAAGAGACTACGGCTCTGCCTCTGCAGCCCCGTGACAGTACTTGTAGCTATGAGTTGGTCAAGCTTAAGACAGACCCCTGAGTCACGGTCTGCTTCTGGCTCACGACAGGACAGGCTTCCTCCTCCCACCCCCCACCGGAGCTCCACCGTCCTCCAGATCTTCCAGGAACTTAGAGCCGCACCCTGCTCTCACAGCTGAGTAGAGTAACCCACCCCGTGTCTTGTGATAGTGATTTAAAAAAAAAAAAAAACTGACCAACAGCCCTCCCCCGACCCTCATGAAAAAAATTACCAGTCTCAAAATCAAGATGCAAATCATCAAAGTAAAGCAAAGAACTTACTGGTTCCATCAAAACACACACACACACAAGCAAAGTCAAAGGACAAGTTGAAAAACTAAGGTGAGGGCTGGAGAGATGGCTCAGAGGTTAAGGACACTGGCTGTTCTTCCAGGGGTCCTGAGTTCAATTCCCAGCACCCACATGGTGGCTCACAACCATCTGGAATGAGATCTGGTGCCCTCTTCTGGCCTGCAGTCAGAACACTGTATACATAATAAATAAATCTTTAAAAAAAAAAAAAAGATGAAAAACATAATTATCATGCCAGGCGGGGTGGCACACACCTTTAATCCCAGCACTTGGGCAATAGAGGCAGACGGATCTCTAAGTTTGAGGCCAGCTTGATCTACAGAGAGTTCCAGGACAGCCAGGGCTACACAGAGAAACCCTAAACCAAAACAGAAAAAAATATTTTTCTGATATTTTTAAATTAACAAAATTTTCAATGTAAAGATCAGAAAGCTCAAACAACAATAATATATGTATAAAACATAGGAATTCTATTGTGTAATCACTGAATAATTACAACGGCCATATAATCTACAGCAACTGGAAAATGTAGCAGAGACAACAATAACTCCTCCCAAAAAAAAAACCAAACACACAAAAACAAATAAACAAGTAGTGAGTATGTAGCACTGTGAGAGACTGAACCACACCAAGTCCTTGATTACATGTAAATGAGCTGAATCGTCACGTTAGCTTGTAGGGGTACTGTAACAAAGTACACACTCCCTGCCTGTATCTCTTTTCACCCCTGGCTACATCTTTAAAGCCATGAACTCCCTCTTCAAATGCAGGCCTTAGAAGAACCCAGAGAGGAACTAACACATACTGCCCAACCCTCCTGATAACAACTCAGGCAGCTACCGTTCTACAATACAGACAAAACGATGAATAACCTCAGGCCTACAGAAGACACTGCTGGACCAACTTCAGACTGTTTGCGGGTTTAAACAATCATAATGAAAAAAAAAAAAAAAAAGCAAGACTTACCCACAGAAGCTGAGTTTTTAAGAACTGACTCCTTTGGGGCTCCTTTTTCAATTCGTAATGTGGCCCACTGTTCAAAACAAGAAGCGTTCATTGAAATTCTTCCATAGACACATGCAAACACCAAAACACACTTATATAGAAGTGACGTTAAAAACTAAGGCTGGGCACCGTCTGATGAGGGGAGACACCCCAGGGATGCTCTATGTACACTATTGCTAGGATGAGGGCTAAAGTTAGATTTTAAGTTTTAATACTCTGCTTAAGAGATCTAGAAAACAAAAACGCCTCTAACCTGTGAGCCCCACTTGTCCAAGGACAGATGACCTCCTGGAATGCTGGGGGCTGTTCATGTAAGGTAGCCAGCCACCTGTCTTCCCACCTGTACACAAGGTTGGCTGCCCCAACTGCACAGGAGATGCTTGGTCACATGTAGGCAGGAAGCTCATCAGGACACATGCTTGCCCCGGATTGGACAAAGGTGAGAAGTGCGTGGCCTTGCAGAGTTTTATAAACACCGGACTAACTCTCCGCCATTCTCTGGGAATCCCAGGTATGGACCCAGCCAGTGTCCACAGTCCTGGCCAGTATTTAATAAAACTTGCTTCAAATTTGGCTCAAAAATTGTGGTCGTGGTCTTATTTTCACCCAGTGGGATTAATTAACACACGTCTTTTGTATGCTCCTAGAGCTGTCACTGATGACGTCCCAACAAATACTTAAGTTACTTCTTGAGAAAGAAGGTGAAGCTGGTAGGGTAAGAAAACAGGTTATAGCTGTTTTCAACAATGTCTGGACCAGAAAATAAGGCCCACCAAAACCCAAGCCAAGGGGGCGGGGCCAAGTATGTGATCTCTAAATGCTATGTTGAAAAAAAACACTTGCACTTTTTAAAGTATGATGTCAAATGGTAAATAATATTACAATGCATAAGAAATGTATGGGGCTAAAGAGAGTGTTTAAGAGCATTGGCTGCTCTTCCAGAGGACTCCGGTTCAATTCCTAGCACCTACATAGCAGCTCACAACTGTCTGTAACTCCATTTCCAGGGGATCTGACACCCTCACACATACATGCAGACAAAACACCAATGCACATAAAATAATAAATAAATCTTTTTCTAAAAAAATGTATGAATAGGGGGATGGGCTGTATGTAGTTAAGGTGGTAGACTGCTTGCGGGCCTTGCATGCATGAAGTCTTGAGTTCAATTTCCAGCATTGAAAAAACAAAACTCAGTAAAAATCACCATAAGACCACCTCACCCATTTTTTACCTATTAAAATGCATAAGGAACATGTAATTGGGAGGGTACAGATTGGGAAGTGAAAGACCAGGGATTATTAAGTATCAGTTTGTTCTGAATATACTTAAAAGTATAATGAAAAATGTCAAAATTGGGCTATCCTGGAACTCACTTGGTAGGCCAGGCTGGCCTCAGAGATCTGCCTGCCTCTGCCTCTTAAGTGCTGAGATTAAAGGCGTGCGCCAACAAGCCTGGCTTCCAAGGTGTTTTTAATGACCACTTTAGCTCATTTGTTTCACACACCAAAAGTCACAGGATCCTCTAAGTTCCTATCAGAGGGGTCCTGTGCCAATGTGATAATGGTGTGTGTGTGTGTGGGGGGGACATATTTCATGCAGCGACATGAATGCCCATCACCACACTAAAGAAAGATCCCAAGATGGGTTTTTCATATGTTCTTTGGTTTGGGGTTTGTTTGTTTTTGAGACAGGGTCTAATATAACCTAAGGCTGGCCTCAACTCCCTAAGTAGGCAAGAATAACCTTGAACTTAAAAAAGAAAAGGGAACTAAACTCAATGCTGGAGCATTCCAGGCAAGCACTTTACTACTGACCCCAGCCCAGCCCCTCAGCACTAACCTTCCTGCCTCCACCTCCCCAGCACCAGGATTACAAACCACACCTGATTTATGCAAGCCTCGAGATTAAATCCAGAGCCGCATGCATGCAAGTCAAGTAGTCTACCACCTGAGCTATAGCCTGCCCTTTCTTCATGCATTCCTAATATTACCATCATAACCTAAAAGGTGCAGGTGGATTTTTTTCAGCACAGAATTTAAAGACTCTGCTGATAATGTGCCCCATTCCTGTTAGGTAGTCTAGGTCTTGAGTTTAAAATTTAGCAATTGAGGGCTAAAGATTTAGCTCAGTGATAGAATGCTTGCCTAGCACATTCAAGGCCCTGAGTTCAATCTCCAGCAGCACATAGATGATAGACAGACCAGACAAGACAGATAGATGTCAGACAGAAAGATAGATACATAAAGGGATAGATAAATAAACAGATGATAGACAGATACATAGATATGTAGATGATAGACAGATAATAAAGATACATACATACATACATGTATGCATGGAAGATAGAGATGATAGATACACAAATACATTGATAGATGATAGATCGATAAACAGGTAGATGATAGATACATAGAAAATAGAGACAGACAGACAGATACAGAGAAATATTTATCTTTAAAACCAATTAAAATGATATCTAAGGTTACAATTCAGATACTAATATATTTTTCTTTCAGAGACAGGGTTTCTCTGAGTAGCGCTGGCTGTCCTGGAACTCACTATGTAGACTAGGCTGGTCTCTAACTCAGAGATTGGCCTTCCTCTGCATCTCAGTGCTGAGATTTTAAAGGTGTGCACCACCACACCCAGCCTAGATACTAAAGTCTAAGCTGACTAACCTGAAAGGAAAGGGAAAGAGCAAAAGAAGAGGTCAAGTGCATTGTAATAATTATAATTATATATAAGCACCATGAAGGGACAAAAAGATAGGTTAATATACAAAAAGAAATTTGGAAGGCTCTATGTATATGTTCAGACAGAGAGATTAAACATTTTGTTTTTCCAAATAAGCATGAAAACAACAATAGAGAATAAAGAGCCTAGAACATAACACCAAGGTCAAGGAGTGACGCCATCAGGGCCATGTACACCGGCACACACACGGCCGTGCACAGCGGCACACACACGGCCGTGCACAGCGGCACACACACGGCCGCGCACAGCGGCACCGGCACACGGCCGCGCACAGCGGCAC